CTCCAAATGCTGAATTACCTAAAATTAACATCAAATTTCTTACTTTACTCGGAAATCAGCAACCTCAGGCATATCAGGATCAAGATCCAAACGACTGCATCTACCAACCGATTGGATAACCATATGTCCTGAATTAACACGTTACATAGAGCTTATTAAATTATCAGAATTGCACAGCTTAAAACATTTTACGGGAGCTATACAGACAAACGGCCGTTATAAATAAACAAAACATAAATTAGATACAAACCGGAAACTTTATAGACTCCCCACCAACGCAAAACACAAACAACCCGCGAACTCCTAGTCCTTTTCCACTCATCGTGAAAATGCTCAGCAAGATCTCCGATAGCAACACACGGCAGTACATAATTGCTACAACAAACAAATGTAAACATTAGCCCCCCTATACACGTAGCAATGATACGAATATAGGTGGAATTAATAAGTCTCACTTTGCGTCCTTAATTTTGAAAGACGTCATCGCATAACCAGCGCTTCGTTTACTTGGGTCAGAGTATTTTATGTCTTCGATATCAACCACATATCCAATCAAATCTAGTGGTAAAAAGAGAGAAGAAACATAAAAATTAAAAAGCAGAATACATGAACAAAATCAAAGAATATTATATATACTTACTTATCAGGTAAGTTCTTATGAGTTTATCATCCAAAACGTCAAGGAAAGAGGATGGATATAGTGTATAGTGAAGATCGTCTTTGTCAGGTATCAGATTCAAAATTGTCGAAGGAAGAAAATTGATCCGATAAGCATGACGTGTAGTTCTCATATCCCCAGTTACCAAATCTAATTCAAAATGGTGAAGAGATATCCAGTCACCATCTTTGAACTCGGAATCATACTCAGTAATGAGTTCGGAATTGATTTTAGCCTCAATCATAGAACCCTATGATAAAAACAGAACGCCAAATGTATATAAGAACATAACATCAACATACGATAAACATCGATAATCTTAAACAAATGCTATTACCCTTTTATCACACAAAATCATGCGTAAAGTTCGATAACCGGCTTCAGATCTCTCACGCCATTTGTTAAGAACCTTAACTTGGATAGACCAACAAAGCTTAATCGGTTTTAAATCGTCGACATGCTCATCCAATTTTTTTTTTTTGTGACTGAGATTTTTTTCATGTGCTGCAAATATGAACCAAAAAATTCCCAATCATATAAAGACAAGAACGTTTTTTTTTTTAAATACATATTTTCAAATTAAAACGCAAGCACAATTACATTGTTTATTTATCGTTACAATGCATTGCATCGGAAAAACCACAAAAACTGATAAAAACATTATCGAGACACGCATAGATTTTGACCATGCATAGAAATACAAGACCGATCGAGTACCATCAATCCAAACCAACAGGGCATCTTTTAGCCTGTAAAGAATCAGACAATAATTTCCCATTGACCAATTCCACCACTACGGGGCACTTTGTTTTGTTCGCTTGAATAATTTAGACCATAATATTCTCCCTTGTGTAATAATGTCGGAAATTGGAGATAATATAAAATAAGATATAGCAATATCCCATAGATTTGAAGATTAATATTTCATATCAAAGTAATGAGTAAAAAAATATGTCAATATATATTCCGTATAATCCGATCAAAACAAAAATATACTATTTTTTAAATTATGCGCGTTTCACGAATATTGCATCTTATATATATTGTAGTTATCTAAAAGATAATATTCGGATGTAATTTTGAATGTCAAAATTTTTCCGAAGACACAACATTAAAACAATTAATTGGTATGTATATTTGACGCTAACTGGATATTTAGACAATAAGCACATATATATAAAATCGATTAAATAGTCAAGGAATAAGATGCAAACCGTGATATTTAAAAAAAACACAATTGTCGAATAACAGATATTTTTGAATCAGGAAAAAAAAAAAAAAAAAAACAAAACACCAACTAAGTATTATAAGAAATCAAGGGTTCAAAATAGTTTTCTCTCCACAGAAGCAAAAGCAAGACGCATCCTCGAAGCTTCATCACACGAAGGATTGAATAAAAGTTCTGTGCAGGTACACAGAGTAGTAGCCCTCATATCACCTAATATATCAATAGACAAATCATGACTAAACGAATAAACACGTACACAATGTATTAGTGTTTAAATAAGTACCTCGAGAAAGCTCTAGTCTAGCAAATCGCATCACACACAGGATGATATTATCAGCACAAGTCTTCAGACCAGAAAAAAATTTCGTGGCATACCCCTTCGGCAAGCGACAGCGAATACGAATACCCCTGGTATATTTAAAGCATTATAATCAACTACACAAAATCCCCTCACAGCCAAGATATATAAACCAAGTTTAGAACTCACCTAACATTCTCTAACTCCAAATATATCTGCTCCCACGTACTATTCATTCCCTCATCCTCGTCATAATTTCCAACACACATGAGACGACCAATCAAATCTACACAAAACAAACGACGACAATATCACGTTCACATGCAATATTTACTGAACATACCAAACAAAAGAGTTAAACTTACCAACACAAACACTTGGATCGACTAAACCAGCAAGAACATCTTCAAAACGTACAAACTTAAAATAGTCAACAGAAGCAGTAACCACAGCTCTCTGAAAAGAAGTCGATAGATTCCAAAGAATTTTATAGGCATGCCTAGTTGGCCTAACAGACCCAACAGCGTCGACCAAGCCAAAATCTTTTATAAATATCCATGTTCCTTCGACAAGTCTACTCGAATCATAAGCCAAACAATCCAAACCAATTGAAGCTTGTATCCTGTCACCCTAGAAACAACCGAATGAACGGTTAAAAAATCAAAACTCAGATAGAACATGTAGTAACGAATCATAAACATTTATAGATTTTGCATGCTTTTAATATATAGCCTCGTGGTACCTTTTCATCGGCTAGTATTAGCTCCAACGTGTCCAAACGTGAAGAGCAACGAAATCTTCTAATTATTATGAATCTTCCCATCATTCTTTCATTCATAGAAGGAATTAGATCAGATACACAGATGGAACTTCGGGGACGAGCCATCTGAAGGCAAGGAAACACTTTAGTATAACAGAACCAACCGCAAAACTATATATATATATATATATATATATATATATATATAAACAAAATGAATCCCCATCGTTAAATTTGGTAGATATTGTTCGGAAAGATACAATAAGATATGAACTTATCACAGCAAAGGAATATTAACATTTAACAATAGAATAAAACATTTTTTTATTAAACAAAATAGATATTTCCATTAACTTTTCTATAACATTGCCAAACGAAAAACAGAAAATTTACATCCACAATAGAACGACATTATATTTGATCAAAATTTAAACTTACCTTAAGAATATTTTATATTTTTTGTAGTTGCCAATCGGAAAGATACAATAAGATATAAACTTATCAAAATGAAGGCATGTTAACATATAACTATTTAATCAAAAAATACCATAAAGGAATATATATACATTCCGATCAACTAATTTTATAGATAATTGCCAAATGGAAAAATATAAAATTTATATTCACAATGGAAACCATATATATATAAAGTTTAATATTATCTAAAATATTTTATATTTAAATGTTATCGATTTTATATTTTAAGGAGCCCTATATATAACACCACGTCGGCGTGACATCTAACCTAAACCTATAGCATATTTATATATATAACAAAACCTATACATCAAATCATAAGGCACCGAATCATGGGTGATAATCACGACGAAGATCAAGTGTTCAAGGCATGGTTGAATCTAAATAAAATCAACTCGATGGCTAGACAATTAACATTCAACGAAATACCAAATCATTCCACGTGGGATAGGACCAAAAAACAATTTAGGCCAAGGAGAAGAGGACCCCCCAGAGGAGGAGTCATGTATGTTTCGCGTAAGATTAACAACAATCGTCACTTGAAAAGGCTCGCAGGAATGTTAAGAGGACCTACATGTGACGAAGAAGTCAGGACTCACGGAGGTATTGTTTACCCAACATACGAAGAAGCTTGTCGGGCACATGGGATATTAGAAGAGTGAAGAAACAATTATTATTACGAATCTATGTATCTCTATATAAAGTTTATTATTATAATATATAAAACATTTTATATGAATTATGGACTTCTTTTTTGGTATTTGTTTATATGCGGAGAATCCAGTCATACTTGCAAGAATTTAACGCTTCATGTCATGAAATAAGTTTATCCTCCCCATAGTATAGACACCGTGAAGCGTAATTTCTATCGACGCAACAATTTATACTATTTTGAGTTCGAAAGCAAATAGTAATTAGGGCTACTTTATAATGGTAATCTCTTTTTTGGAAAGATCAAAACAAAGTAAGCTTACTTTTTAGATATATTCAACTTTTAACATATTTTAACGAAATCCGAATTAAAAAGGAAAATATTACATATATCTCTATAATCATACCAAACTTATATTGAAAATAGATTTATAACAATAATATTGATCATAAATATCATATTAAGGACGTCATTATATGGTTATAACTTTCATTTATCAAGTGTATGTACGTTTTAATACGTATACAGTAGTAACATTATATTAACTACGATATGTATATATATCAATATTTTTAATGCATATACTTGTACGCATGCACATATATTTATCAATATCATGTATAATTTATGTCTGTCATGAGTGAACAAAAACGACGATAGATGAGGTTGACGTTCAAATATCTAACGATAGTACGATATAATCCCACATCGGGACGGTTGACTAAAATAAATCACTTACGTTTAGATATAACATGGCAACATAAAATATATAAATTGCGTCACTGGAATATTTAAAATCTTGGCATTTCTGCCTACAAAACTTGTATAATAATAAAAAACCAAGTAAAAATTAAAACACATGCAAGTATCAATGCATAAAAAATAAAACCAGCACATTAGCTCCGTAACCAATACTATCAGCGGTTCTCACTTACGGGTAAAGAACCTCCGCATCACCAAAAACTCAGGACATTCATGATCGAAGAAGAATTGAGTGCACGTGCAAGCTGTAGTAGCAGTGACGTTGCCTATAAAATAAAATAACTCAAGTTTAACACAAACAGGGAAATCTATATAAATATTATTTGTAACAATGCAATGGTAGGACCTTCGACGACTTCCAATTTAGCGAATCTGACGATGAGAATTTGGAAATCACCAATCCATTTCTTCCGTTCATTCATAAACGAATCAACAAAGACATCCGGCAATCGAAAAATTAGACGTACACCACTTAAGCACGAAAAAAGAAAATGAGTCACATCCGTTCCGTTTTAATATTATTATAAAGAATTTAATTCATACCTTCGGTCTTTCATCTGAAAAAAAAAGCGATGGTTAACACGATTCGACTCCGATCGTCGGAAATCAAAAGTAACCAGAAGGCGCCCAATCAAATCTGTGCGTTTCAATATACAGAGGGTGATAAACAATCCAAATTAAAAATACTTTAAACGATGTAACGCACAACACTTACCAACGCAGAAGCAAGGATTTAGGTGTCCTTCTTTGATATCACTAAACTTCGCGAAATGGAAATTATCACTTTGAGAGAAAGGCCTTATTAAATTGACCGAAGTGAGAGCGTTTGAACCAAGTCGAAATCTATGCGAAGACGGTCTAAACCTTCCGAGAGCCATTCGTACAACAAAGTCGGATAAAATTATGCAATTGCCTTCTATGAGGATAGATGAGAACCGTTGCGCGACGTCCCCACCAAGTACAGCATGTATCTTTTGACCCTAATGAAACAAATAAAGGACTAATTAGTATACATACAGTATAAACGTTTTGATGATAGTATATAATTATGTACCTTTGGATCTTCCAGTACGAATTCCACGAACCTAGCGCCATACGCAGGACACACGAACCTCCTAATAATTCTCACCTTAACCCTCATAGTAACCATGCCGGGGCCTAAGTCAGCAAAATCAACACAAACATCCGGTTGGTCTACGTCACTTGTGATATCGTGTGAGGAATTTTGAGACATTTTACGACTGAAGAAACAGAGAGAATGCTATCTAATCGATCAAGAGGTGATCGTTTAGGGGACACGCGCACCTTTATTTATACCCAAATAAGGAGGTTAATAGTTAATAAATAATGTCAGGGATATTCATTGGTCTCACGGTCTACGCAAATTAACATTATATTTTAAAAATGCCATAACAGTATCTTATAACGTTGGAATTTTACCTAATTAGATTCAAACGAATACAATAAATTCGATATAATATCCTTTTATGCTATCAGAATATATTGCTCACCATGGAAACGCTAGATAGCCACACGATATTGTCGCTAGACAAAACTGCTATTTTTACCCTTATGTAAATCGTATAAAGTTAAGGTTTATCGAAACAGTTGATTTGTTACTATCACATTTTAAAAAAGGCAACTTATTTTTCCGCATAAATTGATATTGTTAATATCCCTAATCTTATATTTTCATCGGCCTAAACAATCTTATATTTTATTTTAAAAATCTCATAACAGTATCTTAGAATATAGAAATCTTACTTTATTGGGTTAATCAGAATATAATAGATTCGATATTCTATCTTTTTCTGTTATCAGAATATATTGCTTACTGTAGGAATGCTAGATTCCAAACCAATATCATCACTGGGCAATATTGCTGCTGTACTATAATGTCAATCGTATAAAGTTAAGGTTTATCGAAATCGTTGATTTGTTACTATCCCATTTTTTTAAAAATGCGAATAGAAACAATACACCATACTCTGGATTACGCCAATCAAATAAGATTTCAAAACATCCTCCGGAGGAGCCGACTAAAGGAACAAAATATAATTCACTCACGTTCTCGACCTTACCAACAACATCTATAAAAAGAACAAAAGAAGGTAAGCAAATAAAAAGTAGATGGTACACAATTACTAACCCAAAAAAAAATATATATATACAAATCTTACCACGAACACTATATAAATTTTGAATTAGTCATATATATTTCCATCTTCCAAATCCACTTTATTAGGACCACATGCGTGACAACGGGCCGAAAAGAGAGAGAGAGAGAGAAATCAATTTACTAACTAACTGTATGATAAAGTATGACGATTAATTCGTTTGCATAAAAGAATACACCAACTACTAACATTAAGAACTTAAACCAAATCGTTCGAATAAAATGCCAAAGCCAGAATAAGAAATCATTAGTAATAAATGTGAAGCCAAAAGCATACAAAATCCATTTTGAAAACTAATCGTCCGCTTCCCGTCTAGCGTAAAACACATCCCTCATTCTTGTAACTTCAACACATCGATAATTTAGCAAAATCCTGGTACATGTGTATACAGTGGTAGCTCCCCAGAAATCTAATAACCAAACAAAGAATAAACAAAAAAACAATAACGCATTAAATAAATTGAACACAAATAAATAATATATTTAAATCCAACACACGACAGAAAAATAAAAATCACATGCAGGAAATGTCAATCGAATTACCTCGAGTAACTTCTAGCCTCGCGAACCTCAATACACATATGATGATGTTATCAAGACAATTCCTCCATTCGTTAAAGAACGCATTCGAGTATTCATTTGGTAAACGACACTGCAAACGCTCTCCCCTTGAGACCAGAGTGTTATAAATATTTATATATTAATATATATAAATAAATATATCCACAACAAAACACACAATAACAGTAAAAAAAAACATTTAACAACAAAGAAACTCACTCTTCGTTTTCCAGTTCCAAAAATAACTCGTTCCAATCAGAAGCAGGTGGGCCGGACTCTCTTCCATTACCAACCCTCACGACACGTCCAATTAGATCTACATATCAAATTGCACACGATAATATTAAAACGAAAAGCAAAACAATCTCCTACATCAACACATGATAAAATATTATTAATTACACTAAACACATTAACAATAAGAAAATTTGATATTACCAACACATAAAGTAGGGTCCAAAGAACCACTTTTGATATCCTCGAAAGCGACAAACGAAAAGAACTCAGCGGAACACAACGGTCGAATGTCCTTAATCGTTGTGCCTGAGTTCCATACAATCTTAAAACGATGGGGAACCGGTCTAAAAGCTCCTGTAACAGGAACCAAATCAAAATTAGTTATACTTATCCAATTGCCCTCAACAATTTTCGAAGTGCGCCGATCCTCATACTCCTTGTTTATTACAGCATGAATATTTTGACCCTAATACGAAAAAATGAAAAAGGCATGTCAATCGATAAATAATAGATTATCAGAGAATTACGAAGAAACATTAGATTGGATACAGATCAAGACAAAGCCCAATATACATTAGTTTACCTTTTCATCCACCAATATTAGTTCCAACGTCTCATACAAATAAAACTTTCTTAGTATTTTAACTTTAATCTTCCACTCATGAACAAAGGGATTCAAATCAGAAACACTAAAAAAACATTCTCTTTTACGAATCGAGTTCCTGATGGCATTAGAGAGAAGATGAGCCATAATAGAAACAAATTTTGCGGAATAAAGAAAAGTGCGAGAATATTATTTATTATACATATATATATATATATCAAGTAAAATATATATACGCGAGTATTTAGTTTAGGAAGATTCCCAAATATAAAATATAGAAATTGAACAATATCAACATACTAAATAAAACAATTTACTTTTTTTTTTATCAAAACAATTTACTTATGATAAGATAAATCTCCACTAAAACAGAATCTATCATAAATAAAATCTTCACTAAGGAAAACTATCAAATATTATCGAAAATAAATTCAACCTTTTATCTATATATATTTTTTAAAAATATATATATATATATATATATATATATATATATATATATATATGTATGTAATCTATCTATATATATGACCGTTTAAATCTAGCGACCATGGTTGAAACTAATTACAAAACATACCATCATTCATAAAAACAGAAGATTATCATATGTCAATACGATAATATATCAATACCGCATAAAGGAGAATATTATTCTAAGTTCATATTCATACAAACCAAGATGATCCGAGTACAAAACCAAAAACAAACAGTTAACATTTCCGATATTCACAAAAGAGTCACACGGGCAATGTCCAGACGAATCGCACTACACATCCACCGTTAATGTCCTAGTTCGAATCACTTGTCTCACCAACACATTAAGACCTAAGACAAAGCAGCCAAACAAAAAATCAGATATAAAAACAAAAAAATAAAAAATAAAATAATAATGAACATAGGAAATGACTACCGACATAGTGCAAAATTCAGCAGCCTCAGGAACATCAGGATATGGCAAAACCTTAGAAATCAGCCCCTGGTTAACAATCCTAACATTCTTTGGTCCATCGAAATATCTGTCTACCTTCCACAGACGCATAATACAGACCAAAGGCTTCGAAACACACAAGTCATAGTGCTTTCGGAACTCCATCGCTGAGCGTCCCGACACCAAACCATCGATAGCATTCCCGCTTTATATTTATTCAAGAAAACACAAACAAAACAACAAAAATAAAAATGATATAATTAACATTTAACACCAAACAGGACAATACCTAGACAAAATTCACAAAGGGAGAAAATATCTATTTACTAACCAAGGCCCACGAATCCGAAAGCTCAGTCTGAAGCCAGTGAGATCTGATGGATTTGTCCTGACATTCACCAATTCACCAACATCAGACAAAACCCCGATCAAATCTAGTTAAGAAACAGACACAACTATAATTCAGACAGGTATTTCCAAACACAACAAACAAAATGAGCATTATATGTAACTTACCAATCAAGACACTCTCGTCAACCGTTCCGTCAATTATCGAACTGAACGGAGTAAAGGAGTCACGGGGTTCAGTCGACGGTGGATCGGCGGGAAGAACGACAGTCGTTCCAAAGACAGACATTCTGAAATGATGATTGGTAAGCCTGACCCTATCAGAGTTCTCAAGAACACGAAACGCCGTAAAAGAAAACCATCGATCTTCCTTCAAAAACTCAGCATAATGTTTCGCATATTCACTATTAATCCAACAATCGATCTTAAAACCCTAGACACACGACATAGTCTGTTTAGTAACTAACACGAATTAGCATTTTAAAATCAAATCTATACAGAACAAAACCAAAGTACCTTATCATCCACCAGAACCAAACGGAGAGCATTCCGAGGATTTATGCAAACAGTAATCATGCGCAGAACCTTCACTCTTATGTGCCAACCCGTAATACAAGGGCGCAAAATCGAAACATCATGGAAGTAAGCCATGGTGAAGGAAACAACTAAAATTGATAACTGGTTATAGATACTTCAATAAGAAATATCGATAATCCGAAAAGACGAAGCAAGAAACCGAAGAGTTTTTTTTTTCTCTGTTTTTTTTTTTTAGAAGTAGCAGCGTGAATTAATAAGTGGAATTGGAAGTATATTACAACTAATATAGAAATCAATCTAACGTAACATCGATTACTGAATAATCAATAATTAAATAAAAAGGTTTTTATCCGTTCAGAAGATTTGATGATTGGAAACAGCAACTATCCATATTTCGGCTGTGTAATTATTACAAACCATGCAAGATATGACAACACAAGTCATACATCAAAAATCTGACATAATCTCTACCACAAGCTAATCTACAATATAAAATAATTAGAAAATCTATAAAGTAGTTTAGATAACTTCAACGAATCTAAAGATAAAGACATATTCAAAACTCGAACACAAAAGATAATTGTTACAAAACCCAAATAAATATCTCAACATGACATAATAACATAACACAAGAAGAAGAGATTTTTACAAAAAGAAATTAAACCAACAGAAGAGGGTATCCATGTTTATGCACACTACGGAAATAGGGATACAATTCTTGATTTACACCAAGAACATTAAGAATTCTGATCAACAACTTCACCGGCGTCATCACAATCCTCACCTTCTTCAATAGCCCATGTTACCCTAGCTATGAAAACAGACCTGAGAATTAAATTTAATACATTAAACAAAATAATAAATTTGAATCCATAACAAAATCAAACTACATATATAAACACTAAAAAATCACAATAATCATTTACATCATCCTCAAGTCCTTGATCTCCGGTAATGTGGGCTCAAGATATATCTTAGAACAACCAATTCTGGTGGAAATAGAAGGTTCACCTATAGCCACATCAACACAATTTGAATAAGCCCTTTATATATATTATCCATAATAGATTCGACATCAATACACCAAATGCATACCCATGAACTCATCGACTTTCCAGAAACGCAACACACAGAAAACAGGTTGATAACGGAATGAAGCCTGGTAGCCTCGGCTTGTCCACACATTCATAAAATCAGCAGCATAATGACCAAGCGCAAAACATGGCAGCTCCCTACCTCTGTTTTATTAATCACCGTTTCAAAAACACTTAAGATCAGTGACAGTCTTTAAATAAACTCTACATAATCACAAAAAAAACCAAGAATAACCATGGACTAAATATAGCACCAAAACAAAATCAAATTCATAGACTTACTTCTGATCCATGAGACGGAAATATAGATAATTGCATGCAGTACTTGCATCATACTCTCCGGGAACATAAGTCATCCTTTTAATTTCAGACACATAGACCACAACTCCACATAAATCTAGCAAACTCACAAAAAGAACACATATCACTACAAATCATACCAATAGAGACATAAGAGGTTTCTAACAACACAGAACATCTAACAAATAAAAAACTAAAGATACTTCAAACAATAATAGAAACCAAAAATGAGATTAGCTAATAAAAAGAATGTGACACACCAAAGGGACGATTTGCCTCCAAAAGCCTCCTCTTAATGACAGAATATTTTGCAAACTCAAAAAAATTGGGCGAGTAGAGATCATAAATCAATGTCATCTTTGTATCACTGTGGAACTTGATATGGAAAGGGTGAAGTGTGTTCGGGGTCCTCCGGATCGGAACAGAAACAACAAAGTCAGAAATAGTATACCACGCATCTTCCCTTAACTCCCTCATATCAACGTTTTGGAAAGGACCACAACCGATTGTACCCTCAATTTTTGTCCCCTAGGTACATGCAAAACAACAAAAATCAAATATTTCTTAACACAACTAAACAACAAATCACAAACCAAAGACAAATAATCCTTAAAGATTTATAATAAAATAAGCAAAACTATAAAAATAATCTAGCAGATCCACCCAAAATCAACAAACTAACCGATCAAAAGAAAAAACGACAAAGACACACGCACCTGCTCGTCGGCAAGAAGCATTTCTGTTTTACACCTAAATCCATAGATGCGAACCCTCCAAAGACTCAGAATCTTCACCCGAATGTACTTAAGCGTCCTACCTCGAGAAAGATTAGAAAGGTAGATTTGCTCGGACATCTTTGAACGAAACCACCGCCCAAGACCCTTCAGTTTTCTTTTAGGAATCAGAGAGAGATAGAAAATCTCGAAATAAATGAAACAATTGTTTACAGTGCACATACACGGTGGAAATTGAAATAAGCAGTCATAGCCACAAATTTTTAAATTTAAAAAATATCTTTTTCCTAATAACTATTTAAAACATAAGAACAGCAACAAAATAATATTAATAACTATGTGAATCTCTAGATTATACACAAAACAAAACTCACACCATATTAAGATAGATAACGCCAATAAGAATAATTAGAACCATCGCTAATATGATATAATGAGTTAGATCGACATAAATTTTTAAAACAGAATATTAATCATTAACTAAATAAAATATATAGAAGCCAAATAAATAGCAACAAATTCAAATAAAATAATTACTCATCATCAGAGTCTTCAAATATAGGCCCCGATCCAAAATTTGGTACGGTTTGATCAATACCAAACACCAAAGGATATGATCCGTATTTATCAACAGATACATCACTACCCTTAGCAATATAACTAAACAACAAATAGATACTGCTGTAACTCCTAGCTTTGCTTCCAATCTCAGTCCTCTACATCAAAAAAAAAAAAAAACCCAAAAAATAAGTAGACAATAGAAAACAAACAAATAATTTAGAAAACACGAAGACATCTATAATAATAGGACATAGGATCTAACAAATACGTAAACTACACACAACATACCTCTTTCAAAATATTCGGTCGTAATGAATACTTCAGCCAACTCAAAACCTTTACAAACAAACAAAACAATTAAAATCATACCTTATAGAATGGTAAGATATTCTGATGTCTATATATACAAGTCATGACACATAAGACAATAAGAGAACAAACATACATGCTTACAAAAGCCCACGCGATCCGTAAAACACGACGGAGCAACAACTCTTCTACGCCAATCCCGTGTGGTCTAAAACATCAGAGAAACAAATATATAAATTAAACATAAAACGATTATTACGTTACATAATAAATAAACAAGATTCGACAAAATACCTTATTAAAATAAAACATATCATTCGTGCATCTTCGGGAGAAGGAAACACCAGCGGTTACCTAAGCCAACGGTACGAAATAAGAATAACCCGTAACATTTGATTATCGCGAAATATATATACAAAAAACAAAAGCCAAATCATCATTTAAAAGTTAGAAAATTAATACCAAACTAAAACCGATCCACAATAACCAACATATTAGATACAAATAAGAGAAATACTTGTTTCCAATAAACCGACACAAACCGAGATATGAGTTCATCGAGTACCTTCAAAATCACGGTAAGATGAAAATCAAACAATAAGATGTCAAACCTTGCACATAAACTCAAAACTATTTGACAATTTAATTATAAATCAATACTAAAAAATAAAACGCAATAAAATCGCATATAAAAGTATATACGATAACAGGAAGAAACACATAAATGTATATGGGTAAATAAATATAAAAATATACAAATTAAAACTATAGAAGTACCTCCCCAAACCTCGCTCTTTGCTCGTCAACACCACCTTCGTCAGAGAGCTTTGTCGATGGAACCTCCCACGTTATACAAAACTGAAACACACACCAAAAAACCAAATTAGCAAAACAATAAATCATCGAATAATGCAAAAAAATAAAACAAACAACACAAACAATATGCACACGACCTTTAAAGGTCCATAAAAACAATATTTGCATGACAAACAACGCGATTCATCAGAATCGTAGTAGCTATATAAAAAAACCATAACGGTGAAAACTATCTAATGGCCACAGAAAAATAATACCTAATCCTCTGGCCGATCAACAATATATATAGCTTTAAGATTAGGGCAAACACCAATCATTATCTTAAGAAATTTTACTTTTTAATTAGAAACAAAATCAGAAAACTAACAAAAACGAATTTTAACTGCTAAATTATAGAATTATCCAAAAAATTAACAAATAAATTTAAGCTAAGATTCAATAATCATTAAAGTCGAGATATTATGACCTCCATATCCCCAACGATCATACTATAAAATAAAAAAAATTAAGGGTGATTAAGACTAATCATCACAAAACACGATTAGACTTATATACCCTTAACAACTAAGAACAAAAAATTTTGAATTAAGGGTGTTTAGGACATTATAATAGAGATCAACACACGATTAGACTTATATACCCCTAATTACGAAGAAGGAGAAATTTCGAGAAGAACAATTCATTAAGGGTGTTTAGGACAAATCATTCTAACTTTTAACCACAGGCCTCCAATGCCCTAACTTTCAATATGGTGCGTTTCTACTTCTCAAATAATTATTGTAGAGATTATTTATATTTATACTTGATTTTGGTACATATGATATGTTTGAAATTTACAAGTTGAAACAAATAAATAACAAGTGGGCTGCTAAAATTTGTAAATACGCCACAATATTTAGAATTGTCAATTTGGCAAACAACATATTGCTTTCTTTTATATTTATTTTTCACTGATTTTATAATTAACTATTCCATATTTTAGATATATAATTAAAATTAAAGAAAAACTTGTTATGTTTTTTGGATATACATATATTATACACCATATCATCACTTAGAGCATACACAATGGCACATATGTGAGTTTGGGTGTGAATAATTTTTTATTATTATAATTAAAGAGACAAAGAAAAGAGAGAGAGATAGAGAGAGATAGAGAGAGTGCAATATTTCTCTTTATTTTAATACTCACACCCAAGTGTAAACTTATACCCAACATACAACTTTTACACAACTTTTCTATTTTTTCTTTTTTTTATATTACTCACACCCAACCAAAGATTATACTATTGTGTATGGTCTTAAATTGTGCAAAACTGCAAATCTTTCAAAATAAAGTTAGTCAGTGTTGCATTAAACATATTGCGTACCATTTCTTAGGTGTGATTTCTAGATTTTTTTTACACGGATTCAAGTAACATTGGTGTGTGTCGTCTTTCGCACCAGAACTAGTCTAACAAATTATAGAACGGATTTGGTTTTAGGAGAGCGAAACTTAAACTTGCACCACCAAATGGTTAGGAAATTTCGAGATGAGTTTTTTTTTTATGGTTTTTATTCCACGTTCAAATTAGAACACATGTACCACAAGATCGGTTGAACAACAAAACGCGGGAAGAGAAATGGAAGGGAAAAAAAAAAGTATATATATTGTTTTTTTTTTATTTCGAAAGTATAAGAGAATCTCCATCATCAGTGGTTTCTCCATGAGAGACCCATATTAAAAGTTAATCAAAAGTAAAAAAAAATAATCAAAAAAGGTGAGAAATTTGAGAAATCATCTCTCTCATACGCATGTCACTCTTAGATTGGTTTTAACAACTTTTTTAAAAAATCAATTACTCAATGATTTATAATATCAACTAGATTAGGACCCGCCCGATGCGGATTTTAAATTTTTTAAATTAAATTAAATTTAACAAAAAGACATATTTAACTTTTTATTGTGAATAGAAACTATTTTAAGAAGTAAGATGATAAAATTTTAATTAGATATAAGATTTATTTATATAGTCATCTTTTACCTTAATACACTTATTTGCATTTCTATATTTTATATTTGTTGTTACATTTATTATAATAGTAAGGTAAATTTAAATTACCATTTACCAAAAATTTTGTCAAGATATTAATTATTATTATTTATGTCAAATCTCAAAAAATGTGGTTTGAAGTTTCGCCTAGAATATGATTCCAAAACTTTTTTAGAATATACTAGGTTTCGACCCACGCTACGTGTGGGTTTATTTGATATATTTTGGTAAAAAAATACTGTATATGATTGATGATAGTTATTAAATATTATTTTATAAAAGTATAATGTTTTGATCTCTAAAACTTTTAAATTACTATGATGGCAAAAATTTTATTTCAAATACACAATTTGAAAAATTATAACGTAAATCTAAAATATAAAGGACATGTTAGAGAGAAAGCGCTTAACAGTTTAGCTTAACAAAAGAAGTTACATTTTCTTTAAAACGTTCTCTAAAGCCTACTTTGGCTCTCTCGGATCTGCCTTAGTCTTCCACCAATATTGAAATCAGGTTTGAGAGCTACTTTTCTCTTACTTCCCGTTGCTCGAGTAATCACTTAATTACATCCGGTCTCTGCCTCATTGCATCGAACTTGGTTCAGAGCTTCAACCATAATAGTCTGACTTTCCCTAGGTTTTGTATCCAAATTCGAGTTTTTTCTTGTCTCTTCTGGAATTCGTGGTAGATCAACATCATGTTAGTACATGAATGTTCATGTTTATCATGCTCCGGTGTCTGAAGATACGAGAAATAAAAAAAATCAATAGTGTTTAAGAATCAAATCTGATAAAAAAATAATCATGAATCAATCTTGTTTCTCATATTCAGTTGGCCGCCAACACCTTCTCGTCACATTCATCGTTTTTTTACTCTTGTATTCTTTCTCGTCATCTTCATTCTCAATTCTTCATGGCCGTTTTCATCGTTATTTTCAACGTCCACTTATTCATTATACTCTTCTTCTTCCTCTTCCTTACTTTTTTTTCCTTCTTCTATGTAAAACATTTGTTAAAAACAGAGTAAGAAATTTAAACTTACAAACCTTACCCAAACATAACTTCATAAGCCTATAAATTAACTACCCAAAACGACATCGTTCATTTGACCTTATGAACTCTAAATTCAATGCCCTTCTACCAGAACTTAGTTCTACGTCTCCAAAATACTCCTCAGCATATAACCTCAAGACAGTAATACCAGAAACCTCGCCATCAAGTTTCAACTACATATGAATCAAATGTTGCCTTAAAGAGATTATGTCATAATTGTTTTTTCACTTTTCTTTTCCGTATATGACAGTCCAAGTTTGCCTTATGGTGTCACAATTAGACCTCTTCTCCCTCACGATAATGGCTCTCTCTCTCTCTATCTATCTTTCGCTTGTAGTGAGTCTATATATCCGCGTTTCTCTCGTTCTCCTTCATTGCTTTACATGAAAAGCAACCTTCCTTGTTACCTAGATTATGACGTCAATTGTTCATAATCCAAAATAATTCTCATTAATTAAAATTATCACCTTTCTTACGTCTCACCATTTCCCGTTCTTGATTGAAATGGTATTCCAAGGAGAACAAATGTTTCCACAATTTCAACACAACTCCCCATACTTTTTGCTTGGTTAGATATCATCCAACTGAAGTATATAAAACTTGAGTTTTTAAAAATAACACTACATGAAGTTACATCATTAGTCATAGCGGCCTCCACTTGCAGTTTCACGTAAACAATTTTCACTATCTTGGCCTACACATGTATCTCAAGAGAGCTTTCTTGCACGATTTTACATGTATGTTCCTCAACTCTCACCACCATTACCACTTCCTTAGATTTATTAGCCCGTGACATTTATTGGGCACAAGCAAATGATGATGCATTCGTCCGAACCACTGAATAAAAATTCAAAATAACTTATTTTAGAGTACCACAACTTGCTCCCAACTAACCTCCAAGATCAGAATCGTTGCCTTTTTTCTTGTAATATTTGTGCAATTGAAGACCAGTGTAGCCACCACCTGCGTTCAATTATTGATACTTTCACACATATATTTGGTTTAAGATCCACACGTATTGAAACTTTTCAAACCAAAATCTTTAATGGTACAAAATTGCAAATTTCTTGTGAAGTAAGTAACATGAACATGGCTACATGTATAGCTAATAAAACAATTGTGCTTGTCGTCGATCTTTCTTCTTTAGACCTAAAATTTTAACTCAAACAATAACAAATCAAGGTCTTCCGATTCATAACCGATATGAAAAAGCACAAACATCGTCCAATGATGCTTGTCGTCAATCCTTCTTCTTCAAACCCCAAAAATTTTACGCAAATAACATCAAATCATCTCTAATAACATCATACACAAACAATGTTTACGGCTCATAATAGATATAAAGCATAAACAACCCGACTAAGAGAGAAGTGTCCACAGTGGCAAGAGCGACGAAAATAAATATAAAGCGGCGTTTAAGAGTAGTAATCAACCCTAATTGTGACTGACGGCTAGAAATTTTCAAATTATATTGAAAAGATCTAGGGTTAACATATTTTTTTGTTAATTTTCTTTTTTTATTCTTTTTTTTTGGGGAAAATAAAAAGATTAACGAAATAGAAATAAGAAGAAAAGTTTATTAATTAGAAAAGGTAAATTGACATATTTACCATTTATGTTTATTTTATATATAAATCTTAATATAGAAAATATTCGAATTTAAAAAGAGATTAAAACTTTTTGACAAAATTTAACTAAAAAAAAAGAAATTGAATATTTTAAATATTTTTTAATTACTATCTTCGTAAACTTGAAAAAAATCTTTCTATTTCTTATAAGATATTAATCGATTTTTTATATGACCTTTTAATTTGGAAAATATTGCATCAAGATTTACTAAAAAAGGAACATTTTTAAAATATGACCAAAGATAATATTGAAATCTATTCTTTACATTTGTCTTATTTCTATATGTTGTTGTTTCAAAAATTCACATTTTACTTCTTTCCATATTGTTTTCCTTTTCCTTTTTATTAATATTTTAGTATATAAAATATTTTAATTTAAAAATGTTAATTAGCAAGGATTGTAAAAATGCTAATTATTGAGGTGGTAAACCGGGATTGGTCGTTCTAAATCCCACGTGGACAGCCTCAGAAGCTTATAGCCTCGACTTTTATATAATAATATAGATTTACATATAAACCACCGGTCAAACATCATCTTATTTACATTTATTTACAATGTAATTGTTTACCACTCAATTTTTTTTTTTTATACTCAATCATATTATATTTTTGAAATCTGCTATTTATTACCACC